GTTTATATAGACAGGATGTCAGGAAATACACCTGTTTATATAGACAGGATGTCAGGAAATACACCTGTTTATATAGACAGGATGTCAGGAAATACACCTGTTTATATAGACAGGAAGTCAGGAAATACACCTGTTTATATAGATAGGAAGTCGGGAAATACACCTGTTTATATAGACAGGATGTCAGGAAATACACCTGTTTATATAGACGGGAAGTCAGGAAATGCACCCGTTTTAGATAGGAAGTCAGGAAATGTACCTGTTTGTATAGACAGTAGATAGGAAGTCAGGAAATGTACCTGTTTGTATAGACAGGAAGTCAGGTACTTTATTAATAACACATTGGCCTAAACAGGCTTCCATCCTCCATTCTGATTAATCTGAGGCTGTAACTCAATCATTAGTTCGTCCACCTCATTACATCCTGTTTACCAGCTGACTGAAGTCACCCACTGAGTGTTTCCTCACCATCTTATCGTTCAGCTGAAATCACTTCAAATTAAAGCCACGGCTCGATACCACAAGTCAATATTTAATTAGCTCATAGCAGGCAGCCATCAGTGGAGGTGGAAGTCCAAACGGGTCGGTGTCCTTCACAGTCAAGAGACAGACGACACCAAACATCAGCCAACCAGAGCTTCAAATTAAAACCATTTTATTAATCCTTCAGGACCAACTGAACCTCCAACATCAGGAACAACACTACTGAGTACAAGTCAAAGTACTATAATAAACGTTCTGATCCAGAATCAATCCAAAGATTCTTTCAAAATAAAATCTCCTAAAGAACAAAACTAGTATTGCAGTGGTGGAAGTCCTGCATCAGCTGGAGGCAGAAACTTATTTAAAGCTGTGAAAGTGTTTCAGCCGATGCTTTGCAACAATCCTCCAGCAGCACAGACATGGCTTAATTAGGTTTCTGAGTCTCAGCTGCAGAACGCTGCGCAGCCTCCACACCAGGATGAAATCAGGCTGCAGCTCTTCTTTCATCACCTCCTGTAACTGTTCTGTGCAAACTGAAACCTGCAGTTCTTCAGCCGACAGGAGCGTGTGCAGACAGGAACCATTCAGACTCAACCAGAGCTCTGAATCATCGGCTGCAACACTTTGCTCTGTTTCTCTGCAGTAAATCACCTGTGTGGGTCACAGGAAGTCAGTCTGGTTTGTTCTTTGTTCTGGTTGTGTTTGGACCCTCTCTGGTCACTCTAATGAGCTGTGTAATTAAAGTGAGATCACTGTGAAGATGCACGGAAACAAATAAAACAACCTGTGGTCCCAGATACTAAAGCCCCGCCCCCAACCAGCTGAGCATCATCCTACCTGTCCGTTCTGCAGCTCGTTCAGGCCCTTACACAACGTCTGGTTCTGAAAAACACAAATACAAACGTGTAAAAATACAGCTTGATTTGGTTCAAAGCTTCTGCTGACAGGAAGTCAAACCAACTGATTTAAAGGAAAACATGTCGCCAGAAACACACGAGTTTAGCTTAACTTTAAACATTTCAAGACAGATGTGAGGAGAGACAGGCTGCAGAGACCACCTGGTGGTCTCAGATTTAAATCTGAATGGGCTGTAGAGTACACTTTGTTTCATTCAATCCATCCACTGGTTCAGCAGATATTTTGCTAACAGACTGATGGTAAAAACATCCTCAGCTTCAGGTAATAAAAAGATAAAAACTAGTGCTGGGCAGTATGACCTCAGATTCATATCAGGGTATAAACTGAATCTCTTCACAGTAACTGTACATATATCACAGTAACTGTACATATATCACAGTTACAGTATATATCACAGTAACTGTACATATATCACAGTAACAGTATATATCACAGTAGAAAATGATCATAAAAACAAAGATAATGTAATTTTTAGATCATTTATTTAGCAGAAAACTGTAATCATAATCAAAGCCAGTATTTTTGCTGTAGCACAAATGTACATAACAGAAGTACAGAGGGATTTTATATATATATTTTAAAACAGTTTCAACAACAAAAACATTCCTCAAATTTTCAACAATATGAAAATAAAGTGGACATTATAACAAGAACCTCAAGTTAAATTACTTATTTAGACATAAAAACAATTCAATGTTGTCTAAAATGTTATAATGTGATGTGATGTTATGTGTATTTCACATAACTGGTAGGGGTGTAAGAAAATATTGATACACTGAAATATCGCGATATTTCATTTCCCGATACTGTGTTGATATTCTAAAGTCCTGTATCGATTTTTTATTAAGGTTTAAAATGTCAACT